GGGCCACAGCAACCACGTACCATCAGGTGGACTGTGTGCTCGTTTGTCATCCAATGCTATAAAAAATGTGCGATATTAGGAAATATTTTAAATTTAAAAAAAATTGTACAATGTATGATCGTTATAGCTTATATAAGTACATTCAACACCTTGAAAAAACCATTTATACTAGTGTTGCCCAAAATCGGTCTTGGTCTTGCAGTCTTGGTCTTGTTCTTGCATTTTTGCAAGACCAAGACCAAGAACAAGACTGCCTAATTTTAGCAAGACCAAGACCAAGACTGACCGTGCAAGATTTGAGCAAGAACAAGACTAAGCCTGCGAGACTCTTGCGTCTTGAAGTTAGGAATGAGTGTCGTTTCAGGGAGTATAGGAGTACGGGTATACGCTTAGGGACTCTATGAGACGCAAAAAATATATATAAAAAAATTTGGAAAATTGGACTTATGCGCATTACGAACAATACAATAAACATACATAGCGGATGAAAATATCCATTAAAAGAAAAAAACGTGATCCTATAATCTCATCAAAGGTCGAATACTGACCTGTCAAAGAAATTTTGCAGCTATTCGGAAGCACAAGGTCAAGATACACGCGCCGGCGGCTTCTATTTATATCGCATTCAATCGTCGCCGCCGCGCCGCACGCACTACATTTGACACTGTTTGAATGCCGCCACAGAGTACATGTTCCAAAGAATAAAATAAGTTTCCGGGTGCTCAGAATGGACACGAATACATTATGCTGATCTCGCAAGGAATATTGTAATTAGATAATGGTAAGGGTAGGTAGATACCATAATAATTTATTCTAGTAAGTAATTATTATAATATTAACTATATGGGTTTATAATAATTACTTACTATTATTATTATTACCTAATAGATAAACATGTTCAATAAGTTCACTGCAAATCTCGATTTTTGGAAGTGTGTGTTTTTGAACACAAAGTGTTCGAATATGTCGTCACTCATTTGATAAATATTGTAGACACTTTTAACACACTTGAAACGTGTAAACATTTTGTACAATGCTAATCGAATAATATAAAAAGTGTGCATATTAAATAAAAAGCGTAAAATAAGATCTATGTACTTTATAGGAGCCCGAGTATCTCTTAGAGAACCGTTTAAAGAAATTGATTGCATCGAATTGATGTATATAATAGTGATTTGCACAATTTTAATAGTAGAAATAAAAATAAAATCACAATACCTGCTTTCCGGTTACACAAGGTATATAATGCGTTCTTGGGTAGCGATATATGCTATAAGATTAAAAAATAAGATTCCAAAAGAAATGTTAGTTTAGAGTTAGATCTTTCACCTTTTCAATTTAAGTCAGACAAAAATGCTTGGAAGTGACCTCTCGTACACACAGAGCTAACTAGAAATTTCTAAATCGATTTGGTATCTACTTATACATTTAACAATTTATGTTTGACTTATCGCAATTAAAGAAAAAATTGGGGAAAACAGTGATTATATGACTATTCAAAAGTGTATTTTTAATGCCTACTTGAATAAAACATATTTGAATTTTGAATTTCAAACGAGTGAAGGCAAATTTAATTTAATTAACGTAGATTAATTCAATCACAAGAAGAACAAAATATACACAATTTTATTTACATATTTACATTTCATTTTTACGTAGGCACACTATACCTATCTGGCAACGCATCTACTTTATTAATCTTCTGAAGCATCATTAATTTTATCATAGGATGCCGAACTTTCCTTTGTCGGTCTTTTGGCGTGTACTTACAAATAGTAGTATTTATTTTAATTCCAGTCATTCCCAATTGAGCTTTGCCTCGAGTCTAATGTATTCATTGTTTTTACTCTAATCCTTGTTGTTCTCGGAGTGATAAGTTTAAAATTTGACAAGAGTGACGAAGAGTCGAATAGTTCTAGTCGGAGTAGTGAGAGTTGGAGTTATAGATCTAAAAGACCTAAAAGTAAATTTGATGAGTTTTTTGACATACGTATTAATGCATCCCAAATTGCTTTGTGTAAATTATGCCATAAAGGTACATAAAAAGGTTGAAATAAAAATGAAAAACAGAAACACTTCAGGCTTAAGGAAGCATCTAATATCTTTCCACAAAAAGGAATCACAAATATTTCTTCCTGAAAAACCGAAATTAAGTGGAGATATTACAAGCGTTTTAATAACCACCGGAAAAAGTGGACAGGTAAGAAAAAATATACTTATCACACAATTACATAACAAATATATTATGTAACTAACGGCCGCCTGCGACTTCGTCCGCGTACTATATCTGATTTCCTTATGAGATTTTGAAATTTTGTCGCTGCAAAAGTTTTACCTACGTATAAAGAGGCTATATAGGTAAAGCTTAACTATGCAAGTATTTATTATTTAAAACGAATAAAGTAAATGTTGATCTTCATATCTATACTTTAAAAATATAGGACTAGCATGTAACCATTTTACCCCAATTTCACCCCCCTTGGGGTTATGATTTCGTAAAACAGCTTATTCAGGATTTTATTATTGAAAACTTATAACTTTAATTAGCATTTTCGTGTGTCTAACCTCAAAAACGTAGGACTTTCATACAAACTTCCAACTCCCATTTTACTCCCATAGGGATAGATTTTCTCAACACCGTTTCTTAACTGATCTCTATGCCATAAAAAGAACCTATCTTACAAACTTCAAGTTTGTATGTTTTATAGTTCCTGAGATATCGTTATAGTCAGTCAGTTGAGTGGTAGTTATATATATATATATATATATATATATATATATATATATAATAGTGTTAAATATGTATTTATAATTCACTCATATTTCCCTATTATTACAATATTTTCCCTTCTCATTTTTTGATGACGAAGCTACACAAGTATATTTTCGATCAATTTGCCCAAATATGGTGTTTCCTAAAAGGTCCACACTTAGAAGGAAGGTCAAAGAACGGTATTGTACCTCTTTAATTTTAGACCCAAGGCATAAGACTCAGACTTTTGACATGACATTATGGGGGAAGCAAATTAAAACAGAAAGCCTGCGCAAATTTAATGAACTTTATAAAGGTCTACACTCAGTGAATACATCTCTAGAATCACCAAGAAATGAGAAGAAAGTATGTGAATATGATGAAGATGAAGACGTAATAGACTTTGAGAAATTGTATGCATGTCTCTCGACGTTATCTAGATCTGGATCTTTTCATCAAGTCTTAGTTATAGACGAGTTGGAGAAGTACCTAAGTAAACCCAGAGCCACCAGTTCGGAAGATATTTTAGAGTGGTGGATGACAAATGAGACAGAATATCCGACTTTATCGAAGATGGCCCGTGATTTTCTTTCAGTACCTGCAACTTCAGTACCTGCTGAGAGATTATTTTCTAAAGCATCATTAGTAATTAGAAAACATAGAAATAGGTTAAGTGATGAGTCAGCCAGATGGTTACTTTGTATTAATTCTTGGTCAAAAGAATTAATATAAAGTAACAGTAATGTCAAAGCTGTTGTGTACTGTTATGTAATTTAATTTGTATTGTATTTTATTTTTTTATTTAAATAAATGGTAAATTGTATAACTCTTCTATTCCATTTCATATAAGGGTCTTTCAATCTCTTTCTAGACAGATAATGTTCTTTATAATACAGTCAAGTTAATGTCATTAATTTGTTTTTGTACACATGTAAGCTTATTAAATGTAAAGGTTTATTAAGAAACAGACTAACTCCCGTGGCCGTGAGACTTGGTAGACAGCTCAGTTGGTTAGAGCATCGGCACGGATCGCTTAGGTCGTGGGTTCAAACCCCACCCGGTATTAGTTGATTTTTCGAATTTCTCATTAAATGTTTAGACATTTATTAATTTGGTTGGTCTTTTTATGGCTATGTTAATTCAAGCTCAAAATGTGCCTACTCTGTTAAGTTGTTCTAAGATCTAAAGTAACGTTTAATAAATAACAATAGATTAATAGGTAATTGTGAGACTTACGAGACTCTTGCTGCAAGACCAAGACCAAGAACAAGACTGAGAGCGCAATACCAAGACCAAGAACAAAACCAGGTGTATTGGCGCAAGACCAAGACCAAGACTGGCTAAGTCTCGTCTTGATCTTGCATTTGGGCAACACTAATTTATACGGATTTTATCGCGCTTAATTAACTTATTTTTAATTCCTGGCATATCGGGTGCTTTACTGCACCCATGGTCACGGGGGTGACTGAGATGTTTGACGTTCCATTGTCATAGTTAGCCCGGCTTATTTAAGAAATCATTACATTCAACACCGTTCAGAAATACCATGTAGTGGCGGTGGAAGAATATCCACTACCTCATAACATTCCGTTGGTGTCGGGGCGACAGAGGAAAACTGAACCAGTGGAGCCAGTGGTAGACTCTTAGATAGAAGAGCAGTTATTTCACCTAGTAAACCTCTCATAACCTGTAATTGTCATACTGGTTTTATGGTAGGTAAGTAAGATAGATATTTAAGCTCTACCACTTAGTAAAGCTTGCCGACACGAGACTGCCACTCGATAATCTTTTTGATGTTTGAAATTTTCTTCCCGATCGGTTATCAGATCACCGAGCTGTATAGCCTAAGTCACAACTTGCGTTTAATGACGCACTTAGCTTCCGCAGCCCCTTACCATCATCTAAACTGTTTGATGTTATAGTATAAAACAAAATACATACTTTCATCATTAACAAAGTGACGACTGTTGTAATTTCTACACAGTTTTTATATTTAAGACGTTGGGTGTTATCTATTCTATGAGCTAGTTTAAACGTACGAAAATCTATCACTCATTACATTCTCTGGTGCCGTTAAAGTAGAATTAGAAGAAGTCGGGAATCTCAGTAGTTGACTCAATAAAGTTTTCAAAATTTTCAGACATATTAAGCAGATCAGGGCGCGATATCTAATGTCCAAAAGGTATAATAATGTTTCCCCAACCCGCTTTCTATGCTTGGCACACTTAATGAAAATTCTTTTAACATGTTAGATGTCTAAATCCAGTACACTGCTTAAATCAGACATGATTTTTATTTTAGTTCTATCCGATATATAAGTCAAGTTTTTAAAATAAGCATATTTACCAAGTTCCAATTCAGCTTCGGCATCCTCGGAGATCGTCTCCATGACCCTTTCAGGACATGGTTCGAGGTCGCGCGCGAATGTCGGCCGCGCGCGACCCGCTCGTCGCAGACACTCTGCGCACAGGCCGTGCGACAACTTGGCGTTTTCTTGCGACCGTCGTACGTACGCGTGAGACAACGTCGGCAGTACGCCGTTGTTGCAGAAAAGCAATGCCGGCGTATATTTTGTTTTCGCACGTGCACTTTATGTCTTCGTACGGTCGCATGTAACAGTCCGGCGCTGCGCCGTTCGCAATCACGGATGCAAAATGGGCGTATTGTTTTTATATACTTGACAGTCGTTGATATCAAATCTTTGTGGTTTTAATAAAAAGTGTTTTATCATATATTGTATAATGTGTATATCAAAAATCCACAAGTTGAATTAAAATTACGCTCACTTTTTAAGTTATTAATTATTGTTTAGTCTCTTTTCTCACTTAAAACACTTGATTTCACTTTGTGATATTATTAAATATCAAAGCAAGCTATACGTTATTAAACCAACCTGGAATTCGGCTTCACTTATTGTATGAAATCGCATGGGTAGACTTCTTCCGTCCAAGCAATATTGGTTTTCTATTGTACCTAATTATTTTGTCAAATGTTCAAAACGATGTTTAAGTTCAGAAGTGTGAGACAGCAAGAGTTTTAAATGATTTTTCCGAAAACTTTTATGTGAATGCAAATAATCGCAATTCTGATAATTTTCCGTAAAACAACTGAGGATACACTGAGGGTGGTCTTATAAGTCAGAAATCGATTTTTACGTCGTTTTTATTTGGTTAATTAAATTGTCTGAAATCAACAAATATTTAAAAAAAAGAAGTAATTCTATTTCAAATTCTGAATTTGAATTTGAATTCTATACCATGTGACAAATATCAAATACATTTTATTCTTTCAAGGTCTTTTCTACAAATTGGAAGTTTAGTATATCGAAAACTCATATTTTCTACATTTTACCTATGTAATATTGAACATGGACTTCAATCATCTAAATTAAACAATCTCTGAAACCGGGAGACATATAGACACCGTCGTAACTCCATAAGTATTCTGTTTCCTATGCTTTGTAAGCATACTCGTCATCAATCTAAAATTAAAAGACATATCTATCAATATTACTCAAATAAACTAATAAAAATTGAAAATAAATTCTTGAGTCTAATTTGTCTCCCAAAATGGGTCTAATTTTTATACATGCGGAGATTTTAAACTCCAAGTAACACAACAGTGGGCTTTTTGGTTGTAATTAATTCACTAGGTGGTAGAATCCTTTCCGCCGAGAGGTCCGTCAGGATATGTACTACTTTCTTACCTATTTTACCGCTCAATAGCAGTTCTTACAGACTTACAATTTCTTATTTAATTTTTAGGATTCAATAATCTCTAAGTCTCCTTTCAATTCCATAAAAGGGTAATTTTATACTATCGCGGTCTCCTCGTTTTTGGCTCTAAAAATAGAAAAATCACCCGATTTCGATATATTTTTTTAAAAGAGATTTTAAACTCCATAAGATAATAACACAACAGTGGGCTTTTTGGTTGTAATTAATTCACTAGGTGGTAGAATCCTTTCCGCCGAGAGGTCCGTCAGGATATGTACTACTTTCTTACCTATTTTACCGCTCAATAGCAGTTCTTACAGACTTACAATTTCTTATTTAATTTTTAGGATTCAATAATCTCTAAGTATCCTTTCAATTCCATAAAAGGGTAATTTTATACTATCGCGGTCTCCTCGTTTTTGGCTCTAAAAATAGAAAAATCACCCGATTTCGATATATTTTTTTTAAAAAGAGATTTTAAACTCCATAAGATAATAACACAACAGTGGGCTTTTTGGTTGTAATTAATTCACTAGGTGGTAGAATCCTTTCCGCCGAGAGGTCCGTCAGGATATGTACTACTTTCTTACCTATTTTACCGCTCAATAGCAGTTCTTACAGACTTACAATTTCTTATTTAATTTTTAGGATTCAATAATCTCTAAGTCTCCTTTCAATTCCATAAAAGGGTAATTTTATACTATCGCGGTCTCCTCGTTTTTGGCTCTAAAAATAGAAAAATCATCCGATTTCGATATTTTTTTTTAAATCTTCATTTTTACGTCGGATTTAAAAAAAAAATTACAGGAATAAAAGAAATGAAAATTTATATTGGTTTCAGGGCTTTAAATGTTCATGAAAATGCACTCATTCACGTATAATTGTTAAACCTGATTTATAGAGGGAGAGAGTTTGGGAGGGCAGCACCACGCCACTCAACGTAGCGCAGTCGAGGGAAGCCCGATCGACGGAGCCCCGCTTGGCAGGGCTTCTACTTCTGAGTGGTTTATAAAAAAATAACTACGAAGGAGGTACTCCTTCTAACCTAAACTGTCCGAGTCGGGATGCCCTAAGTCCCGAGTAAGCTTCGCTAAAAAATTAATAAATAGGCATTATTAAGTGATTTTTTTTTTCAAAAAAATGTTTTATTAATGTTCGTTTTTTGTGTAGATAAAAAAAATATAAACTTCGTTTAATTTATGGAGTGTAGAAGCAAGGAGGACCAACTTCCATAGTAGAATACAGTTGAAAAAGTGGCCATCTGTAAGCAGTAAATAACAGTTCAAAAATTCTCCACAACAGCGCTGGAGTAGCTACTGGGATGAAATGAACTTGGCAGTTGTCGACGGTTTAAGTGTGCTGCTATACTGCTCAGTAGCTTTAAAATCTAAAATAATTTTATTTTGTAAATATAACCTCGAAAAAGTCGTCTATCCCACTAATATTTTTCGGTGCGTTCTTTAAAGTATACCCCGTAGTTATAGTGTACACCCATATTTAACGGTTTTCTATGGACACTTTTTAATACACAGCCTGTACTCCTTACTTCTACACTCCATAGTTTAATTTATTTGGTTAATCTTGGCTGACAATATTTCGATTCAAATATGATTATTTCGGTTCGGTTTTTTCTTCAGCAATTTTTCCATATTTTTTACCAACAAGTTAAATTTCAACATTTTCTACTTCAACTCTTTTTTTTTAGTATATCCATCTTTTTGAATGGCATCATTTCATCATAACTTTCTTTATATAAATAGGAATTGTTTGGTATAACAAATGTTTATTACAAAAAAGTTAAATAAAATAGCTAAATGTGCGATCATAGCTATTCAAAATTTACGATTAAATATCCAGCAGTATGGGTCCATAATAGAATGAACTCGTTCTAAATAAATGGGTATTTGCATATTCTGGAGTACGTACAATCTGATAGACATATCCTCAACTCATTTATAAGTGAGAGAAGTAATAAGGATAATGTCCTTCACACCGAATTTCGGCCACGGCGGCCTGCCTCAACGGGAGCTAGCCATCGGCGTAGGACAGGATTATAGTGCCAAAGTGTATGCGCAAGCATAGGTGAACTCTCTATTCCCTCACTCTCATAATCCGATGGGACGGTAAATCGACGCGACCGGAAAGAGATCAGTCGCAGGACCAACGGCTTTACGTGTTTTCCGAGGCACGGGGGTGAGACACCGCAAACTTACTGACTCCGGGCAGCTGCTGAGAATTTCTTGACGGGAAAACTCAATAATTAATTTTTTGACCCGACCCGGATTTCGAACCAGAGAACTCATGATCAACAGTCGCACTACTACAACCAATGGACCAACGAGGCAGTCAACAGTTTGATTTCAATACATTTCGTTATGTCTTTACCGATTCCTAAATGTAATGCAGAAGTCAGTGATGAAGCCGCTGCCGTTCCGGTCTGAAGAGCTTAGAAAGCTGGTATAATTACTGGTTGTGAGGCATTTCATCTTAGTCCTCAGTCGACAACACATCTGTAGTCTTCTGTTTGAAGTTGGTTGCAGATGTCAATGTACTGCAGTAGCCACTTACCATCAGGTGGACTTTAAGTTGGCCCTAGTCGATGGCCCGAACTAAGTGGTGGGCGGGGTTAAAATGCATGTTGTCTCAGCCGACATCACGTGCGAAAGCGAAAGGCATGATGATTTACAACAAAACGAGCGTGTGAAATTTTATAAACAGACCTTTTGGAGTTTGGATATCATGAAAAATCTATTGAATGTATCTTTTCAAAATAGAATTTTTTGCACTTTTGAACACGCAATCTATCCCTGTATAATAACTGTTTTAGAATTTTCGTTCTTCTTATGGTATTTATTTCCGCCCAAAGATGTGTTAAAATTAGTACTTTTAAATATATCAGACTAAGTTTGTATGGAAGAATGAGTGGCTAGTGCACCCTTAAGTACATTTGTCCATGATTTCTAATATTTACGCAACTACTTTTACGGATTTTATCGCGTTTAATTAACTTCCCAGTGGAAAGTTATTGTAATTGTTCCGAGTTTGCAAATTATAAATTTTTTACATATCTCCACGTTTCAAGGTCTTTAGAGTCGAATAGTATGGTTTTTAAGAGGATGTCCGTGTGTGCACATGTACGTATGTATGTATGTATGTTCGGATTCAATTTTCGCTTCGTGTATCTCGAGACCAAAGAATGATATTGACATGGGACCAGTTTCATTTAACGCATATTTACGTAATTTAGACCTCATTAAATTTTGAGCAAAATCGATCAGGTCGTTTCTTGTGTCGAATGAAAAATTGTATAAAATATTACAACATATGATATTTTTTTATTCTTTCTACTGGGAAGTTAGTCGTGTGGACCTTTCGGGTCGCACCTAAACCGCTTTTTTAAATAATTTTTAATTCCCAACGTTTCGGGTGCTTTGCAGCACCCATGGTCACGGGGACTGAGGTGACTGATGTCCCGATGTCAATGTTAAACCGAACTACCTTCAGCTTTTTAATTATTATTTCTGGATCGATCAATGCAGAATAAACTGACTGTATCTTGAAGTCTTGCAACGGTATGCTTGGGTTTAGTGTGAATTTTATTAATTACAGGGTCCCAAGTAGTTGGTAGTACCCAGCCTCCTTCTCTATTAAAATTAGGATTAGGAATCAATGTCATTTCGCGAGGATTTGTGGTCTATCAAATCTGATATAATGGTTGGGGCTGCCTAGGATATGATCACAAACTGCAGATTTGATACTTCACATCAGCCATAATTTAAAATTATACGCGATAAAATCCGTAAATGTAGTTTTAAACTACATTTGTCAATTCAGTTTTATA